CAACACAGACGAATACACGACGTTGCGGCAACTGAGTCTCTGATATCCGTCTGTTACCCCCGTCTGTCGAATTTTAATGAAGCCAAATCGGGAACGGGTCATGTGTGAATGGTATTGGAGAATTAGGAATTATTTTAGGACGATAGGGATCTAACAATCGCGGCCCTGGGGGACTTTTATCACCATCGACTGTGGCCGTTGGATGAAACCAGCTCACTAGCCTAACGGACCCCTACTCGTGAAATCGATATACTTTGACTGGTACTAATAGCCTATTTATTGTGTTGTCTCCAGAATCAATAATCATAATCCACACAATCAAGCCTGAACCATCCCCTCTGACCCTGTGCTCGTTTCAACGCTGTCCCCAATACCCTGACCCACGTTTTCTCCCTCGGGGTCAGGAGCTCACCTTCATCAATGGTAGCTTGTCTGAAATTCTACTTTACTCGCCAATGCGCCGTGACATTCATCTGCGTCGGGGATACGTTATCCAGCTTGTCGCCTCAACATTAAAACCGTCTTTAAATTCAGTTTTCTCAGGTTCTATCTTCTGGACATATATTTTGGACTGAACGCCAGCAACATAGGTCAGATTCACGCAACTGTGCGTCTAAATGTCCGGCTGAACTCGTTTTACGACGCTCTAACTAAATTGGCTGACATTTGTTGCATCCTCTGGGATGTCAGGGAAACGGAATGTGCTGCGATCGTGTTACTGCCAAATTAAAATGGCGGCCAATGGGTACAGTAATACCCAACTCCTCGGCAATGTGTAACAATATATCCTAATGTCAAAGAAAGCACGAGGCCCTATGAATTATTGATATTGTTTCCGATTATTTTCCTCGCGGATAATTTCTGGTACCGATTTTTAAGAATGCAACTAGGTTTTAATGGCTATGATAGAAAGGCGTTAAAGTAGGATTTCATACGGTCATAAAGACGTTGTTAGCGACCCCGAAGGTCACTAAATTTCATAACTGAGTCGTTTATATTATGCTATTCTGAACAATTGGTTTCTTTGTGAATAATGAGGTATAATGTTATAATTTGTCTGCGGATAATGTTGGACTTCAAGGTACTTTATTTTAGCAAACAATTTTGTTGAATGCTAAAGACATTAAGAGGTTGTGTGAAGTAATTTCAAGTAAATCGTATTCTTTAATTTTCTCCTTTATTCTATAAAGATTTTGATAACAGGAAATATTTTTGTGAACACCTTTGTGAAAACGTAATATATATACTGCCACACGTTGAATATCTGCAAATCCATTCTATCAGTTTGATAGAGATCTTCAACAAAATTGAGAAACTGGACCAAGAAATAAATATGCATTTTTGTCACGGAAATTGTCGAATTTACCGAGTCACAAGCACATCTAAGAGACAATATGCTTTCACAGCATGTAAGATCATAAGAGACTGATCGAAAATCAATGCCACTTCCAGACTTAGAAAGGGACCTATTCTTTTCTGTTCTTTTTTTCTGGTGTGTGTCTGGGCAAAAACGGCGGCTAGGGCTTACTGGGGCTGCATTTTACATAGGAATTGTTTTGTTGTGAGGAATTCGATATTGGCCTTCGACTCCTCTGAGAAAAAGTCTAGCCAGTAGAAAGTTTTGAAATCAGAAGGAGATTACAGAGGAATGTCTTGATTTGTACACATAGTATGGGATATAAAAAACAAGTTCTGTTTTCAAGCGCAGGATATTTCAATTTTGGTTCGTATATTTTACTGTTTATGTATATTTTGTTATGTGTTAAGTGCTGTGTTGAAACATTTTGAAATTCAGAAAAAAGAATGTTTGGAAATAGGCTCGTCGTTGCTTGTGGATAATTTCCAGCTTTTTCATATTGACAGAAATATGAATAATGTTTGAAAAGTTGGAACTACAGATGTGGTTACCTGGCGGTTTGGTTGGATCGATACATTGTACAACAGATGTTTCTGAACCTGCAATTATTGAGAGGCTATGAGGCGCTGAAGAACTAGGGAATCTCAATGACCTTTCCGACCGCCTCCGTGGTCTAGTGGTAGAGCGTCCGCCCGGAGAGCGGAAGGTCCGGGGTTTGATCCCCGGCCGCGTCATACCAAAAGACGCTAAAAGATGGTACTTGTTGTTACCCTGTCTGGCGCTCGGCATTAAGGGGCTAAAACAAGGACTGGTCGGCTCGGAGTCAGTATACTGTGTCTGAGTGGGATATTCATGTTAAACTGCGGCATTGTATCTCAGTGAGCTAGCACTATAAATCGGCATCAGTCAAGACTAGTACAAGCAGCCACACAAACACACACACGTACATGCACGTCGCTATATAAGTGCAGTAATCTTGGACGCGACGTTAAACCCCATTTCACCTCACCTCACCCAATGACGTTTCCAAGTCCTTTAGACAACGGGTGAAACAATGCGCTGTTTTAATGTGTCTTTAGAGTGTGTGGTTACTGCTGTACGTATCAGTGTCTGCATCGTTCTATTGTGTTGATACAGCCTCCGTGGTGGCGTGGATAGAGTGAGTGAGTGAGTTGTGTTTAACGCCGCTTTTAACAGTATTCCAATGATATCGCGGCGTTTCAGCTTAATGTGGGAGGAAAGCCCGAAGTGATGCAGGTCTCAGACGTTTACCACTTCGGTGAAATCCACGAGCACGGGTATGGTGCTGACAAACCTAGAAACATAATCGGGGCGAACCTGGATTCGAACCCACAATCATAGGTTTCTGGCGTGCCCAAGGGACGCAACTCTGCACAGCAAATCGCAGCGCCTAAGACGACTGGGCCAACCGTGCCCCCTGTAGTGGATAGAGCCCGGTGAGGGGGATATTGTTGGTTCGATCCCCGGCCGCGTCGTACCAAAAGACGTTAAAAGATGACGAATCAGTATACCGTGTCTGATTGAGGTGTCCATGTCAAGCTGCGGCGTTGTGTCTTAGCGGTTCAGCACTAAAGAAACAGTACGCACGCACGCACGCACGCACGCACGGGCAAACACAAACGTGTTAGTGCAAAAATCTAAGTGAGGTGTCCATGTGAGGCTGTGGCATTAGTAGTCCAGAAATACAGAAACAGGATCAGTACGCACGCACGCACGCACGCACGCACGCACGCACGCGCGGGCAAACACAAACATGTAAGTGCAAAATCCTCGAACGTGAGGTTAAGTTATAAACCCCACTTCACCTCACCATGGGGCATGGCATGACGTATGGCGTTCAAGCATAACAGAAAGTGATGTCGTTCACGATAATATGTCACGAACTGTTCCAAATAACGTCAATAGCTGACCGTCTGTTTGAAAGAATGCATTCGAAAAACCCCGTTACCGACGCTGCCGATAGCGTGAGACCAACACTTGGGGTTGTAACGACATGCTACCACAGTACATTGCCAGACGCTTTGTGCCTTCTGCTTCCAGGGGAATATCAGATGACGGGCCATTCATTCTCGCCATATACATATTCTCCGAATTGAACACGGCTTTTTTATATGGGATTTCTTTGTGAGGTCGAGTTGCGTTAGACATCCTCTCAGCTTCAGTTGACAGACATTTTATTATTTATAAATCTTCATGTTACTCTTTCAGCAGGCGTTTGTGCAAAAAATGAGTTCTCGATGTTTGGTTGGTTATACTTTGTTACAAATACATCTCAAAGCATAGCCAAAACCAAGTTTGTCTAAAGGCAAATAACTTATATATGGGCAAACCTTTGACATTGGGAAGAAAATATCTTTAGCTCACCTGGACCGAAGGAACTGAAACTTATGTATAGGAACATAATATGACTTCGCTTGTTTATGGTGAGGAATTGAAATCTTTAATCCATAATAAATATTACTATTGAGTTCTGGAAAGTGTTTAAACATCTTCTTTTTAGAGCTTTTAGGTAGGGTACACAGGAAATTTCATCGTGGTATAAAGAAAGAATTATGCTAAAATGGAAGAAAAAACTTCGTAACTGACGCTGCTGTGACCAACGTTCTTGGTTGCCCGTTGCCAGACGCTCTGTGCATTCTCTTCCAAAGGAACAGGGGGTACGGTTGGCCCAGCCGTCTGAGGCGGCGTAATTTGCTGTGCAGAGTTGGGTCCTTTTGGCAAACCCAAAACCTATGATTGTGGGTTCGAATCCCGATTCGCCCCGATTATGTTTCTAGGTTTGTCAGCAGCATACCCGCGGTCGTGGGTTTCACCGAAGTGGTAAACGTCTGAGACCAGGATCACTTCGGGCTTTCGTCCCACATGAAGCTGACGAGCTATTTTGTCTCCCCATATACATGAAGAATATTAAACATAAATAATATGTATTTAAAGAATATTCCTATGGTGACAAACATGGATGCAAAAGTTCTAATTTGTGTCATGTGTAGAGTGTCGTCGTGATTCGTAAACTGCTCAATTGTTCTACATTATCTTCTAGCAGGCAGACAAAAGAAATTCTAATGATCTGAATCATGCATGCTGAGACTGACACTTAGCCTTATCCTAATGTCACATGCATTAATTACTTCACTGCATCGACCGCCTCCGTGGTCTAGTGGTAGAGCGTAGGCCCGAAGGGCGGAAGGCCCGGGGTTCGTACCAAAAGACGTTTAAAGATGGTACTTGTTACCCTGGCTATCTGGCGCTCAGCATTAAGGGGCTATGACAAGGACTGGTCGACTCGGAGTCAGTATTCTGTGGCTGAGTGGGGTATTCATGTTAAACTGCCGCATGGTATGGTGGGCTAGCTCTATAAAATCGGCATGAGCCCGAACTAGTGCAAGCAGCCAAACACACACACACACACACACACACACACACACACACACACACACACACACACACGTCGCTAAATAAGTGCAATAATCTTGGACGCGGATGTTAAGCCTAATTTTACCTCACCTCACCTCACCTCACCTCACCTCACCTCACCTTCACTGCATCAGCACTGTATTATATGTGAAACAGGTGATTTGAAACCGAGATAACGAGTTCTAATTTAATGTATCGTGTGTTTCAGATACGGGGCGGTGTACCTGAAGTGTGGCCTACCTCAAAAGCGACGCCCATATGCTGTCTCCATTGCAAGGCAATCCTGCGAACCTCCAACGAACTATCTGCCGGTGATACATTCCGAGAAAGCGTCTCATGAATTTGCAGTGTGCGTGACCCCGTTCAATTTTAGATACAGCCGAGCGTATGAGCTGGTGGAAATGGTTGAATTCAACAAACTGATGGGGGCAGGGATGGTGATGTTTTATAATCAAAGCACGGGCAGAAACGTAGACGCTGTCTTGAAGAACTATGTTGCGGAAGGATCTGCAGAAGTAGTGCAGTGGCATCTTCCAATGAAGGTGGACACATGGCCGCCAAGCGGGCCGCCGGAAGTGCACTATTTTGCGCAGCTTGCTGCCTTGAATGACTGTGTGTACCGAAATTTACACCGCTCAAAATATCTGGTATTCACAGACATGGATGAGTTCGTCATCCCCAAAGCAGAAAAGAACTGGACGTCTATGGTGCAGAAAAAGGTAGCTAAGAACCCTAACATTGGTGCTTTCATCATAAGGTGTAACTTCTTCCGGAAAGATTGGCCTAAGTATTCGAAGGACTTTGCCGGAAGGAGCGACGCGGAGAAATACAAATCCATCCTGCTGTTGAATGTGTTGAGAGAGAACAAGGCTTTCAACTACTTTCAACGTTCCAAGTATATCATTGTGCCTTCTCGTGTGGAAACTGTGGGTATTCACAACATCTGGGCTCTGCGGCCAGGCTTCATCACAGACCGCGTGTCGACATCTGATGCTCTCCTCCACCATTACAGAAACTGGGAGAACCCGGAAGACAGCCAGACCAGAGTGGAGGACACCGTCATCCATGGCTACAAGGACAAGTTGCTGGACAGACTCCGCTATACCTGGAGCGAACTACCCGGGGTTGTATTGGACATACCCCTCTCAAACTATAGCAAGCCTGTATAGATTTTGATGAACCTCCTCTGCGGTCCTCTGTGGTCCTCTGCAACCCTTAAGGACATACCTCTACAGTATTCCTGGGGCAAACAGCCCAGGGTTAGTATTGAGTCTGGCAATTTATAGCAAGTTGTATACATTTTGACGAAACTATGCCGTATCGGCATAATTTTGGTAAAACACACCTCTTTAGTATTCCAACGGCAACTTACCCCTTGTTCGTACGAATACCTATTTAGTATTCCCTTTAGACTTACCCCTGGGTCGTATGGACATACCTCTTTAGTATTACTAGGGCAGGGAAATATACCTTGGAGTGGTATGCACATACCTATTTGGTATTCCAATAGCAAACGACACCGGGTTCGTATGGACACACCAGTTTAGTATTCCCAGGGTAAATTACTCCGGGGTCGTAGGGACACACGGCTGTAGTATACCCAGGTCAACATACCCCTAGTTGGTCGGGACATACCTATTTAGTATTTCCAGGGCAAAATTCCCGGGTTCGTATGGACACACCTTGTCAGTATTACTGGGGCAAAATACCCCTTTGACGAACTTCTGCGAGTTCACTCAAATTCGGTAACTTCGTCCTTCCTCGAAAAGACGAGGGGACCCGGGTAGCCCAGTCGTCTAAGGCGCCGCAATTCGTTGTGAAGAGTTGCGTCCCTTGAGCGCGCCAGAAACCTATGATTGTTGGTTCGAATCCCGGTTCGCCCCTATTATGTTCCTAGGGTTGTCAGCACCATACCCATGTTCGTGGATTTCACCGAAGTGGTAAGCGTCTAAGACCTGCATCACTTCGGGCTTTCCTCCCACATTAAGCTGACACGCCGTGATATAACTGGAATACTGTTAAAAGCGGCGATAAACACAACTTACTCACTCACACTCGAAAAGAAGACCGGGTCTCTGATACAAGCCAGGCCTAGATAAAAAGTAAATGCATTATCCCAATTTAGAAACCTCACAACGAAAAGTCCCTTACTTACAGTGAAAAAATAGATGTCAGCGGCCGTACGATTGACGTAAATATGTGTTAAAGAATGCATTTTACGATCGTCTTTCACTTCTCTATCGGGTCTTCATTATAAGTGTGGGCCCCCATTCCACAAGGCGACCGTAACTCCCATACTTTAACATACACTAATGACAAGCGTAGGACTACGATCATTTTGTGGGACGAGTTCTAGGTGATTTTGTAATGTCTTCATGTATACACGCTTGGGGCATCTATTAGAGGATGTGCTGTATTTCTCTTCCTGGGACAGACTACCTGCGGTTAGTTTGGACCTGCACCTTCAAACTTCACTATGTGTGTAAAAACGTGGCAAATCTGTCCGAGAAACCCTTTCAACTAACCTCTAGCAAGTGTCAGATGTTCTGTCGGAAACAGCTATATTTTGGCGCTTGGTTAGCCTAGTGGTTGAAGCATTCGCTCGTAAGTCCGGGTTCGATTCCCCACACGGTTACAATGTGTGAAGCCATCGCCGTGATATTGTTGGAATATTGCTTACACACTACTGTGTAACCCCTCAATTCGAAATCCAGGTATAGTTTAAGACTATTTTACTGACATGCCCACAGAACGTAAATAGTCTAATAAGGACACTTCGCTTGTTTCGAACTACTGAAACTCGACAGATACTCGATGGCCAAGAAGCAAGTGCAAAAAATTGGTCTTAATGTAAGGTAATCCTACAAATGATTCACAAGTCAGACTGTAGTGAACTCATGGTATGGATTTCTGTTTTTCCTGTCGAATTATGTGTAACAACGTGAACGTGTGTTTAAATATGATAAGTATTCATTAGATAGGCCTTCAGCAACCCATGCTTGCCGTAAAAGCGACTATGCGTGTCGTAATAGGCGACTAACGGGATCGGGTGGTCTGACATGGTTGATGCATGTCATCGTATCCCAATTGTGTGAATCGATGCTCATTATATCAATCACTGGATAGTCTGGTCCAGACTCGACTATTTACAAACCGCCCTAATAGAGCTGAAATATTGCTAAGTGCGGCGTAAGACAACAAACAAACAAACATCATCATATGAAATATAACTCTAAACAAACAAACAAACTGATGAAATACGGGCAAGGTATCACATGAAACGAAATATTAGTGCTAGCCAATCCAGAATGACGTGCCTGAACAACTTATTGTCTTTGTACTGTAAACATGAACAGAGGGCTCAATCATTTAATGGTCTAGTGTTAGCTGGGACTTTTGAGAATTTGGTTTAGGTCACTTCAAGGATGACAGTGTGTTTGAACGGTGTTGCCCGAATATTTTAAGGGTTGTCTTAACGACCACGTCCAGCGTATATTTGATTGTTTGTTTGTATAATTTGAGGCTAACTTATCTTTTCTAGAAAAAGAATTTTTTGAACAAGGAATCCCAGTGCCACTCCAGAATATTAAGTGGTCGGTCCTTTAATAGCCATCATCAGATCTGTCTCACAATCATGTCAGAGAGGTATGACTGTCCTACCTGATTTTATGATTGTACGTACATGTGTATTGCGGCGACCGCTTAGTTGAACTGGTTGGTGGTCAATACAGTGTAGGGAACTGCTACAGACAAATTTATTATTTGAATTGTTTTGTAAAAAAAACTCAATATTTATGAGTAGACTTATTTTTTTACTTTGGAAGATATTTGTGGATATTTTCTTATACTGAAAGCTTTTCAATACTAGCTAGTGTCGTGTGTTCGATGCTGAAAAAGTCCATATGCTCTTGCATTGTAAATTGTAAATAGCTTTTTGTGTGAGAATGGACACACGTAACGAATACTCGGGCCTTTATGTTTCATAGTTCATTGGGCCCTGATTCATGAAGCGATCTCCGATATTAAGTTACCTTAAAGGAGTTATGAAATTCGTAGAGCCACGGTTACTCCGTGCAGCGGGGTCATGATATCTTGGCTATATTTAGTTGGAAACATTGCCATCTGCGGTACATCCAAGTTACAGGGAACGGTGGTTTAGGGGGAGGGGGGGGGGGGGGGGGGGGGGGGGTTTCGTCAGCTTTAATTGTCTGCTAAAGCACGACATGGGACTTTCGCAATGGCTACCGAATCAAAGTTATCTACAATCAAATCCCAACGGAATCTCCTCAGAAACTTGTTACGCTCTAACCGTCAATTGTTTACCTCGTCTGATTGAGAAACGTTACTTCATAGTGTTTGGTATGAGATCAAGAGAGTATAACTTAGCACCCTCGCAGCGTGCCAAGTGATTTGTTCAAATTTAGTCGCAGATGTGAATCGCGTCTGAGAAGATTACTGTTCTAAGCATTTGGAATTGGTCATTTGGGAACAGGAATCCTGCTCATCATCGCAATAATGCAGCAGCATCACTCGATATAGCTTCTTGTTTATCTAAAAAATGTTTCATTCCGCTTCAGTAGGACAGATGATTGCGGTGATAAAAAGCTGCGTACGCATCATATTGCAAGGGCTATTCAATTTCGATATTCATGATGTAAGATCCAAAAGCATCGCTTTTTCGAAGGTAACGTCACAGACAGCGCCAGGTTGCAGGAAACAAAGACAATTGATTTCGATAAGCCTCATCCCATTGGACCTAGGATGTTTGGATGTTCCGTTTAGCCGATTGATAGCACCACGTTATTCACACCCCAATAACGGTAGTTATTATAACGGGTGGCCCAGTCGTCTAAGGCACCGCGATTCGCTGTGCAGAGTTGCCTCCCTTGGGCACGCCAGAAACCTATGATTGTGGGTTCGAATCACGGTTCGACCCGATTATGCACCATACCCGTGCTCGTGGGTTTCACCGAAGTGGTAATCGTCTAAGACCTCCATTACTTCGGACTTTCCTCCCACATTAAGCTGGCACGCCGTGATATGACTGGAATACTGTTAAATGCGGCGTTAAACCAAACTCACTCAGTCACTAGTTGGAGTCAGGAAAAGGTTCAGCTTACAATCAGTTGATGAAGGGGTTTTGTGAGAAATGAAAATCTCATTTTGCGTTTCGGTTTTTCCAAGTTTGATTTTAAATCAGAACAGATATTATTCAACATTGTTATCAAAGGAAGTAACCGGGAACTGGTTCGTGGCATTAAATGTTCATGCGCGTGTACTGGAAATCTCTATTTGGGAAGGGTATGATTCGAATGCATTATAAATTCTCTCTAGAGTTGATTAACCTTGCCCTATGGGTAGTGTACTTCCTCGCCTTGCATTAAGGTTTAGCTTTTTCCACATATTCTCAGTTTGAGAACCATGTTGTTCCTAACCCGCTTAGGAAAATCCCTCGTAGCACTTTTTGCCTCTGTTCACGTCAACACGACCTGCATGTTAACGAAATATTAAGTAACCTGTCAACAAGGTTGAAAGTATGCGTTCACAATCAACACCCACAGTGCACCTCGCGGTTGGAATTCTGTCTCTGTAATTGGAGCTTCCGATCCGACATCAACCCTGAAATGCAAAAAAAAGTAAAATAAAATCATCGTGTGGATTTTATTGACGCAACATCATCATCAATATGCCTGTTCTGTTTACGATCTGTTATCATATCAAACAGTGATGACAGCGTACCTTCAAACTTGAGTGAACCGCTGCCATGATTGGAAACAAGTCAGAATCACCAAACACCTATCATTAAGCTGAAAGCGGAGTTAATGGCATTTGAATGATACGTTAGCGTATGTCCTTTGGGCTCGTTTTGTTTGTCCACATTTGAAATCCCCACGCAAGTTTGAAAAAGATAGAGGCAGTGCAATAACCTTGAGTTTATCTTTCTTGTGTTACAATAATGGGGCTGTGATTGCAATATGCCTTGACGCTCACAATCCGTAGCTGTCACCGCGTTGGTTTAGCAGCCATTACTCGTGAATTCAATCCTTTCGATTTTTTGTTTCAAATGTGTGATTTGAAATTGAATGTGACACATAAAACTACGTCCAACAAATCCAACAAATTCTTTCAAATCATATCCAGAATTTAATGTCAAATATTGATATGAAATAGATATTAATCATTTCGGGGTTTTCTTTTGGTGTCGGGTTTCTTTCCCAGAACCGAGATACAGTGATGCAGAAGAGATTCCCCGATGACCGAGACATGCCACTATTATCGGAATTGGTTAAGCATAGAGATTCTATTGCCAATACGAACGTTGTTGCAACTCATAAATTATTTATCACTTATGGCATTGTTTTACAATTATACTGATGAATGTACTTTTTTGGAGAATAACGCGTAAATCAAAATTGACATAATCAAATGAACTGGATGGGGTTTGCCCCAAATTGTATATATGTTTTTGGGACCTGTGATTTATGTAGATAATCTATATATCGTGTACATGGTGGATGAGATCAATGTTTATGTGGGTGATTGATTTTTCCTGAATGTTTCTTGTGAATTTCTATGCACTGGAATTGATCCCAAAGTCATTCAATGGGTACGGCTTATCCGGACATATCACCTACTCTCGCCCCCTGGGGCTGCCGCCTCTATTTAGGGGAGAGTATTTAGGCGAAGCTTTTTGGGCTTGGGTTTACGGATTTTAGGCTCGAGAACTGATGGCGATAGGTAAAAAAATATAATATTTCAAATTTGATATATAATTTGTAATTTCCTCGCGATTCGTCATAATGTTTTGTGTTTTTGAAGTTTTTAAGATAAATGTTCAACAGGTTTTAATCACAGTATTTTTAATAATTTATTTATATTGATAGCGACAATAAATGAGTATTT